GTTTGAACAACAACAGAAATGTAGCAGGGCTGGAGGATTAAGTGGATGGCAGGAGAGGTACCAGATGGAGCGAGAAAGATAAAGTTGTATCAGTAAAGGTGACCATGCAATTTATTGTTCAAACTAGGACACTTTTTTTTTAAAGGTTTTATTTATTTGAGCGAGAAAGCGTGAGCCGGGGGGAGGGCCGAGAGATACGGAGAAGCAGACTCCCTGCTGAGTGGGGAGCCTGACGCAGGGCTCTATTCCAGGACCTTGACCTGGATCATGACCCAAGCAGAAGGCAGACACTTAACTGACTGAGCCACTCAGGAGCCCCCAGACCAGGACACTTCTGAGGTGAAAGGCAGCATGATGAATAATTACACAGGATCACAGATGTAAAGCTGGAGTCCCTAGGCAAAGTGACATTGCTGTGGTCTGGGTGCTTGTGCCCCGCTCCCCAAATTCATATGCTGAAAACTTAATGCCCGAGGTGATGGTATTAGGAGGTGGGGCCTTTGGGAGGTGATTGGGTCATGAGGATTGAGCCCTCATGAATGGAATTAGTGATTTATAAGAGACCCCACAGAGCTGCCTAGCCCTTTCCAGCATGTCAGGCCACAGTAAGAAGTTGGCAGTCTGCTACTGAGAAGACAGCCTTCACCAGAACCTGACTGTGCTGGTGCCCTGATCTTGGACTTCAACCTCCAGAACTGTGAGAAATAAATTTCTGTTGTTTATAAGCTGCCCAGTCTGTGGTATTTTGTTATTCCAACCCTAACAGACTTAAGACCGACGTGTGTGCCTTGTCTCCTGATGAACGATGCTGAGGGGTGTCAGGTGTGTCTGAATAACAATGGGGAGCCTCTGAAGTGTTTTAAGCAAGGACATGATATAATCTTGCTTTAGGAAGGCGGCTGTGGAGGTAGTGTAAAGAAAAGATTGGAGGAGGCAAGTTAGAAAGAGCAGTCAGGTCAAAATAGAATTAGAGACTTCAGACATTCCTAAAATGCAACTCTAGTCAGGTCACAACTCTGAGAAGCTCCCCTAGGATGAAGTCCTAACACCTTAGCATGGCAGATAAGCTCCTGGTTTTCTCTCCAGCTTTACCTGTCACCTCCCCCCTCCCCTTCACATGTGATGGTCTAGCTATGTGCTGAACTACTTGCCCTAAACGCTGTGTTGTCTCCAGTGCTTTGCATATGTCCTTCCTTGGCTGGGAAGCCCCGCCCCTTGCGTGTGAATTCATGTATGTGAATCCTTAAGATTCAGCTAAGATGTTGTTTCTTCCTGGAAGCCTTTCCTGACACACCAAAGTCAGGGGTTACTACTCTTCCTCTGGATTCTCATGGCACTCTGCATGCTCCAGATCCACTGCCGATTTTCTCTTGTAATTGCCTGGTATTCCTCCCTGCTGTCAAACCAGCTAGACCATGATTTTTTAAATTTAGATATAATTGATGTATAACATTATATTAGTTTCAGGTGTACAGCATAAGGATTCAATATTTGTGTATATTGTGAAATGATCACCACAGTAAGTCTGGTTAATATCCATCACCAGTACATCGTCACAAATTTTTTTCTTGGGCAAAGAATACAATGATGACCCTCAAGATTTACTCTGTTGGCAACTTTAAAATATACAATACAGTGTTATTAACTAACAGCCCCCATGCCATACATTACATCCTCTTGACTGACTTATTTTATAGCTGAGAGTTTGTACTTTTTAATCCCCTTCATCCATCTTGCCCACCCCCTACCCCCTACCTCTGGCAACTGTCAATCTGTTCTCTATATCCATGAGCTTGTTTTGCTTGGTTGGTTGGTTGGCTGGTTGGCTTTGTTTTGTTTTTTAGATTCTACATATAAGTGAGATCATATGGAATTTGTCTTTCCCTGTCTGACTTATTTCACTTAGTGTAATGTACTCAAGTTCCATCCATGTTGCAAATGGCAATATTTCCTTCTTTTTTATGGCTAAATAATCCTGTGTGTGTGTGTGTCCTATTTTCTGTATCCATTCATCCATCAATGGACATTTAGATTAGATTGCTTCCATATCGTAGCTATTGTAAATAATGCTGCAATGAACATGGAGGTGCAGATATCTTTTCGAGTTAGTGTTTTCATTCTCTTCAGTTAAATACCTAGACGTGGAATTGCTGGATCATACAGTATTTCTGTTTTTAATTTTTTGAGAAACCCCCACACTGTTTTCCACAGTGCGATCACCAACTTACATTCCCACGCACAGTGCACAAGATCCCTTTTTCTCCACATCTCCACCAATGCTTGTTATTTCCTATCTTTTGCTTTTGTTGTCTTTGCTTTTAGTGTCAAATTAAAAAAATCCTCACCAAGACTGATGTCACAGAGCTTGCCACCTATGTTCCCTTTAGGAGTGTCATGGCTTCAGGTCTTACCTTGAAATCTTTGAGCCATTTTGAGTTGATTTGTGTGTATGGTGGAAGATAGTGGTCCAGCTTCATTCTTTTGCATGTGGTGGCTGTCCAGTCTTCCCAGCACCATTTCCTGAAAAGACTGTCCTTTCCCCATTGTACATTCTTGGTTGCTTTGTAGTAAATTAGTTGACCATTATATGAGTGGGTTTATTTCTGGGCTCTCTATTCTGTTCCATTGATTTGACTATGATTTCTTTTTGAGAGAAGGTCTGTGTCTTGTTCATCATTTTATTCTCCACCTCTAAACCAGTGTTTAGCACATAGTAAGAATCAACTAAATACTTGTTGGCTAAATAAGTGTCATTTGAAGTGCCCTTAAATTGAAGACAGTCATCCTCATAGTGCTCCTTCTGTATTTTTTACATATACTTTAAAAGTGTCTTCAGAGAAGAGTTATCATAGTTTCATAAAAGAAGAGCAGCATGAGCAGCACATGGGTGTACTCCAAGTTCACCGATGAGGTTCACTACCAGCAGAGTCGGCTTTTGAAATTTTGTAGAATTTTCGTCATCCCTGGTTGGCACTTGATTGTTAAATTAGCCAAAGGAGAGTCTGTTTAAAAGGAGGAAGTGCTCAAAACACATACAATTTGAAATCATGTTCAAGGATATAAAGAGGGAACACCCATGAGCACTGGTGTTGGTCCAGCTATTATTTATTTAGCTTTTCCTTTCATATCACTTCAAGTCTGGTCTGAAACCAGGATCTGTCTCTGGTGTGGCAAGAGCCCAGAGTGTGGGCGTATGGGTGATTTCTCCTCAGTTTCTGGATGGTGTTACTCAAGGTAGTGGGTTATAGAGGGAGGAAAGTCTGGAAGGCAGAGAGAGCTGAGCAGCTCTTTGTGGGGAAGAGGTGGGGAGGCAAGACCAAGGGCTTTCTGGGAGATGGAAGAGCCCTCTCAAAGGCAGAGATGGGTCTTATTCATCCGTGAGTCATCGGCATGATATTTTCAAGCTATGACCTCCAGTGTGCCAAAAGGGGTAGCTATATTTTTCTACAATTCAAGATAATCTTAAATTTCCTGATGACAGAAAAAATAAGCTTATTTTGTTTTCTCAGTCATTTCCCATTTAAACTCAGTCAACTCAGGATTTTCTCCTTCCTCCTCTTGAGGATGGCATCCAAGTTTAGGGACCACCTTAGCATCATGACTTTGGGGATGGGCATCTCTTCATACTGGCTTCTGCTGAGAGGAAACAGCCCACTGTTCTCTAATTGTCTACATCTCTTTCTGCCAGAGTCCACTAGTATCTTAATAGCACTGCGCTGGTATGAAGTTGGGAGACTGTGCCTTCAGCATCCTCTCTGTCCCACTAGTGAGATCCTCTCACTTCTGCCACTCCCTCTCTCCGCTGATTCTGCAGCCTTCAGGCACTGCTGGATGCTCTCCCACACCTCTTGCACATAGTAGGGGCCTCTGAATGACTACCCGAGATGCTCTGTTCCCAGACCTACCTACCCGTGTTACTGTTCGGCTGCTTCCATTCTGTGCCACTGGCATGAGGTAAAGACAGGTGGGGGAATTCTAAATGTCACTCACTTTTCCAGGCTCCACTTGGGGAACAAGCAGAAATCCTCTTCACCCTCAGAATGAAAGCAGCATGAGGGAAAGAATGTTTTTTCTATTCTCTTCCCTGCTGAATGTTCAGGGCCTAGTAGGATGGCTAGCCAACAATAAGTGCTCAAGAAATACTTGGTGGATAGAGGGATGACTGGCCTCTCCCTGGTCTCCCCAACTCCCACGACTGGGCCCTGGACAGGCTCAGGGCACAAGACCTCCTTGCCAGTATCTAACTCTTGCTTCTTCTGTTTGTCTCCTCCCTCAGAGGATCTTTTGTCTGAGGTGGATGCTTAGAGGGGTAGGACAGGGAGACACAGGCAGAAGCAATATTCTCCCCAAACTCCCTCTGTGACAAGTTAATCTGGCTTTTGTTTTTAATCTAAGTCTTCATCTCTGACCCATCAAGACTGTTCTTCTTGGGCAGCAGTAGCTTGTATTTAGGTGACTGTGCTTGGCGAAGGGCCTTGGGGATTCAGTTTGTGGGGAGGGAGACTCTGTTAGTTCTTCATCCATCATCCTTTTACCTTTGTGGTCCCAGTTCCTAGCACAGTGCCTGGCACAGAGTGGGTTCTCAGTTCATCTTTACTGAATGGAATATTGGATGAGTCAGAAATTGGTGAGATATTGAAGAGAAAAGAGTGGAAGTTTGGTGGGGGGTCGTCAGGGTAAAGATGGAATGAGATCTGGAAGGAATGCTCAGTATTGTCGATTCTTTGTTGAAACAGAATTCTACTCAACAAAGCTACATGATTTGTTCATTTTAATACTAATAAGGAGTGTTGCTATAATTCTTACTGATTGTAATGCTAGGTGTTCCCTAGACCCCAACTTAGTAAACTAACTCTAAATTTGAGCCAAAACCCAGAGACTGTCCACCCTTTTATAGCATAAACTGAAAGCTATCAACAACTAGGTATTGGTGGCTAAACAGGGGTAAAATTCTAGAAGGGAAGATTGAGAAATTCGGTTTTAATACAGTAGGTACTTACGAGTTTCTGTCATGTGTCAGGCACTAGTGATAGGCACGAGGGTACGGCCGTGAGCAGGGCGTCCTTCTGTTCTGGTGAAGATAACCAGTAATAAGCAAAATACTACAGATTGTAACGCGTGCTATTAAGGAAACGTACAGGAGCTTCCGAGAGGTGATGGAAGCATGTATGCGTTAGTTAGGGTAGTCAGAGAAAGCCCCTATACGGAGATGGTGTGCTCTGAGATAAGGATGAAGAGGCCTGGAAGGACTATTCCAAGCAGAGGGAACAGCAAGTTCAAAGGCCCAGGGGCAGGAAGAAGAGGTCAGCTTGCTCCTAGAATTGCAAGCAATGGGGGGAAGGTGGTATGAGTGGAATCAGACAAGAGTAGGCAGGAGCCATGTCACACAGGACTGTGCAGTCATAGGGAAGGGTTTCAGACTGAATTGTGAGCACAGTGGAAAGCTCTGAAGCACAGGAATGCTATCATCTGATTTGTATTTACTTAAATATAAACTAGGGGAGAATGCATTATGGGGGGAGACAGAAGCAGAAAAATGAATGAAAAATGTAGGCAGACTGTCCCAAGTGACCATGACTGGGGGCAGGGGCAGTGGCTATGGAGAAAGGTGTATAGAGCGGAGATTCGTTTTGGAGTTCAGCCCTCAGGACTCCTGATGACTGGTGGTTGGAATGAGGACAAGGGTGGAAATGAGGATGAGCCCTAGTGTTCTGCCTTTGGGAAGTAGTGTGTGATGGTGTTACTGAGAAGGGAAAGACAGTGGGGAGAGAACGGGTTTGGGGGATATGTTAAGGGCTGTGGTTTGGAGATGTTATGTTTGAGTTACCTGTGAGATATCCATCTAAATCCCTGTATTCTGGAAAGACTGAATATCAGTACACTAAAGTAACTAAATTGGAACTTAGATGATTGTTTTTCCTACTTCTTGAATCAGTCTCTCTTTCCTTGAGACACTTAATTTTTTAAAAATTCTAACTGTGCTTTCAGGATGCTGGTCATATGTCTGCTCTGCATTTCAGAGGTCTGAGCATTCCATTACTATAAAAACAAAAGGCACCACAAACCTCGAATGTAGGTCATCACCAGACATGCCCAATTCCTTAATACAATTCTGAGAGCAATCTAGCAGTTCATCTCTTTGCCCTTGTTACTGATTTCAGTCCAGCATGCCCAACATGTTCAAACCACAGCTTCACCTTCCCTGAAGTTTGCAGTTTTCACAAAATGTAAATAGTGGTACTTGACTTTTCCTCTGCATATTGCTGTCCTCCATACAACAGAGTATGGATGCTTTAGAGGACTGGGCGAAGTAGACAATGAATGCCCTACTTCCTGATGGGTTGATGAGACTCCTGCAAATGTCCTTTTCCCCTTTTGAAAGATTTTATAGTGTGTGCGTGCATGCACATGTGTGTGCACATTTGTGTGCGTGAGAGAGACAGAGAGAGCTGGTAGCACCACTGCACCACAAAGGTGTTCTGGAAGTGCCTCAGAGTTGGACCGCAGGTGTTTCTTTTATACTTTGGATTAGCATGCAGCGTGGCCTTGAGACAAGATAAGCACAGGGCTACAGCAGTTACAAATCTTGATAGCTTTGTGTGGTTCATGCCAAGGTCAAAGACTTTGAATAAATATAGATCAAAAGGGCGTTTTGCTTCCTTGCAAGTATTTGATTCATTTAATTTAGAAAAGAAAAACCCAGAAAGGAGTACTTAATGCTTTGCTGATGATAGTTACCAGTTCTTTGCTTAACTTGGAAAAACTTAATTATTCAGAAATATTCAATCACTAATTGTGACAGTTCTATGACAATCATATCTTAATTGTCATCTCTATCCCTACTTTGGGGGCTCTTGTCATCTGTCACCTGCACTATTAGGATACCTTTGTCAGTGATCTTTGTGCCTGAGCCTCACTCCTATCAGTCACATAATCTTCACAGAGATCTAACACACAAATCTTCAAAACAGCCTCTAATGGCTTTTCCTTATCTACAGATAAAAACTATACTCCTGACTTCTTACATTTTCAGTAGTGTGGTGGACTAGACGCTATGAAGAGCCTCCTGCCATGGGGGAAAAAAAACCCAACAACCTAGATTCTGGATAAAAGATACCTTTTAATACATTTTTGGGTTCGTGGGAACTAAAGGAAATCTCGAAGGGCAAAATAGAACAAAAACCGTGCTGTGTAAACCTGAGACCTGGAACCTCTTTGGAGCAGGGAGCCGTTGAGTGTGAAGGACTCTAAAGGCAGGCTTCCCTGAAGGCAAACGCTGACATCAGCAGCCCGGAGACGGCATCCCTGAGCCGGCAGCGGGGAAGAAGTGGAGCCTCAGACTTGACCTTCAGTGGAGCACTCAAGGGGGCTGCCCTGGCTTCAGGTGTGTAGTCCCAGCTCTTGACAAAAATACAGATCCTTTCTAGAGGCCCCACTGAGACCCAAGACTCTTACAGATTAACCTCAACCAAACATGATCTCACAATCCGTGATTGCGAGAAACACATGGAATAAGCCTGCATGCCTGAGAGTCTACAAAGATGCACAAAGATTTAGCCTCCAAGGATTTCAGGTATGAACTATTAGCTACACAATATTAGCTGGCTATGAAATGTTTAATGAAAAAAAAAAGGATAGAATCAGTGAGGGACAGATGACTAGATAAATTTGGAAAATAACCAAATAAAACTTTCAGAAAGGAAAAATAAAATTCTTTGAAAGTAAAAACTCAGTGGATGTGGATGGATTCAACACTAGATTTGATAAAACTGAAGTGAGAATTAGTGAATTGGAATGTGTATCCGAAGAAATTCCCCAGAATGCAGCAAAGAGGCCAAGAAGGTAGAAAATATTTTTTAAAAGCTGAAATACAAATGATAGATGAAGTTTAATATGGCCAATTGGAGGCAATATTTGATGAGATAATAGGAGATCATTTTTCTAGAACTATTGAAAGGCATGCATTCAAAGATACAGGGGGCATAATATATACAAACAGGATAAATAACTACAAAAATTTGCAAACTCACATGTTATAATGAATGTCTACAACACCAGAGATAGAGAGAAAGGCAGATTATCCATCAAAGAATAGCATACTTCTCAACAGCAACATTAGAAGCCAAGAAGACAGGGAATATCATCTGCTTTCTCAGGGACGATATCTGCCAAACTAAAGTGGGTAGTCATTTAAGAACAAGAGTGAAATTAAGATATTTTCCAAGAAAAGATGCTCCAAATAAACAAAACTGAGTTTATCACCACAGATGCTCAGTAAAGGAACTCGTAAACATTTATTTCAGGAAGAAGAAAATATTCCAGAAGGAAGGTCTGAAGTGCGAGAAGGAATAGTGAACAAAGAAATTGGTAGGAACACCTGGGTGGCTTGGTCTGTTGAGCACCCAACTCTTGATTTGGGCTCGGATCTTGATCTCAGGGTTGTGAGATCAAGCCCTGCCTGCTTTGGGCTCAGAGTTGGGCGTGGAGTCTGCTTGGGATTCTCTCTTTCCCGCTCCCTCTGCCCCTCACCCCCAAAAAGAAACTGGTAAATATGTACGTCAATCTAAACAAATGTAGTCTTTTAAAAATTAATTATAACATCTAATTTGTGGTATTAGAAAAAGAACTAAAATGCTAGTTTTATGGCGATAACATGCAACTGAGAGAGGGTAAGTTAAGAGTTACAGGTTCTAAAGTCTCTGAATAATAATTCAGGAGTTAGGTTACTCTATTAACTTTAGACTCTGCCAGGCTACATATGTGTATTAGAACATTCAATGGAACTCTCTCTGACTCTCTTTTGCTTCAGGTGCTAATAATAAAATAGATACCTGATATCCAATCCATGTGTGAAGATTTTTTAAAAAATGGATGAAAACCTGCTCTGTAACTCTTCAGCCCCGCCCTCACCACACACACACACACACACACACAGAAAGAGAGAGTTTGGAAGATTTAAGGGGACAGTGTGGTGGCACAGGAAGAATCTGGTGAGGAGACTTCTGGGGAGGACGGCTGTTGCCAGGCTTTGAGGCTGCACCCAAACCGCCTCTGGGGGAGCGGGAACCCTTGCTGCTTACACCCAGCCCCAGTGAGAGAGGCTTTGACATCTGCTCCCCGGAATTGGAGGACCAGTGCCCGACTCATGCCAGAGATCATAGTCAGGATCCGACTCTGGCCTGGCAGAGACACAAGCTGCCCTGTAGCGTTGGAGGTGAGGCCACAAGGGCCTGGCCTGTGCCTCGCTGTCTGCAGTTATCACTCACACAGGGCCTGCAGTGGTCTCCTCGCTTGGGACCTCCCCTCTCCCTGATTCCCCCTTGGCCTTTCTTCACTTAAAAGCCAAAGTGATTTTATTAAAAAGAAGTCATATCATTCCTTTGCTTAAAAACCCTCCAGGGACTTGTCGACTCGCGGAAGAGTAGCTCTGATCTAGCTCCCAGCTTCCTTCCTGACTTCCCCTCTTGTCCCTTCTCCTCCTTGCTCATTCTGCCATGTCCATCTTAGACCCCTGGCTGTTCCGGGGTCGGCCGGGTGCCCTCTTGCCTCTGGGACCTGCAGTGACTCTTCCTTCCGACTGGAACACTGCCCCCCTCTACCTGCCTTTCTCGCCTACCTCCTTCAGCTTTCTGCTCAAGCACCACCTTCACAGTGAGACCTCCCGCCCACCCCCCACTGGCCTGCTCATCCCCTGGCCCTCCCTATGCCCCCAACCACTTCATTGTCCTCCACAGAATTCATCACTGTCTGACGTACTGCGCATGAATCTTTGGTTGTTAACAACGTTTTCCCCTGTAACGCACGTTGTAACTGTGCTCCAGGGCAAAGACTTTGTGATTTTGTTCACGGTTGTATTTTTAGTTCTTAGGAGGGTGTGTGCCACACTGCCTAATAAATATCTTCTGAACGAGAGAGTGTATGAAATGAAGGGGAGCAGAGGGAGGGAGGAGGGACTAATCGAGCTGAAATGACACAGAGACGTCCTGTGACATAGGACTGAAAAATGATCATTGGAATTAGCAGTGAAAAGGTCAGTGGTCCTCAGAGAGGACAGCTTCAGTCGAGGAGGAGGAATGGAAGCCGGATTGTGGTGGTCTGAGGAGGAGAACAGGAAAGAGGGAAGTGAATTCAAAGGGGGAAACATTTGTTTTTCAGTGTGTTTGAGGGAGGGGAACAGGAGACAGAGAGACCCAGAGAAGTATTTAAAATAAAAAAGATGAGGCACCTCTGTGAGCTGAGAGGAGAAAGCTAACAAAAAAAGGAGTTGAAGATTAGGAGAGGAGGTGACTTGGGTGGCGTTTCAGTGACACAGATGGCAGGACAGGCCTGAACAGTCATAGGAAGGGTTTTTTACCCTCAAGACTGAAGGGAAGGGAGCGAGGAGTAGTTGTGAATTGTAGCTCACTTGGCTGGCAGGAAGATGAGAAGCTGAAACAAATCCATTGAAAAGCCTCTCTTTTCTTGAGGAATAGGGAAGATCATCTACTAAAAACGAGAGAGAAAAGGTCTGATTGACAAGGGTGCTTGAGGAGAGCAGTGAAGGTTTGGAATTGTCTTTGAGAGAAATGGGAGAGTAAAGGACAAGCAAAAGGACTCATGGACAGTCCTGAAGACCCATGGGGCTTGGAGACCATGAACTTACAGTTGTGAATTTTCCCCAGGAGCAGTCAGTCACCCGGTGTTACAGGATTTTTTGTCCTCTTAGTGCCCGCAGCTCTTGGTCGCGCCACTTTGAAGAATGAAGGGGTAGACCAGATGAAGAATGGTAGGCAGCGAAGTTTATTGAGCAATAGTACAAAGCTCCCAGAGAGGGAGGGGGGCCCAAGAGGGTTGCCCTTGGAGTTTCTAAAGTTTAGGGCTTTTATGAGCTCTCTTACAGAACTATCTTAAGCAACCAGGCTGTGCTCAGTCATTCCCATCAGGGCTTTGGTCACGTATCTGTCTACCTATTAGGTTTATGTCTACACGCTGATGGTCTTTTTTGGCTGATATCTGGGGGCTTAGGTCTTAACTGCCCCTTGCCTGTGATGGTGACAAATGCTTTGTGGTTAATTGTCTTTTTTTAGGACGTTTTGCAGAAGTCACTTCTGCAAAGGCTGCAAAGCAGAATGTGAGGGCGGGTCCTGTCTAAGCTGCAGAACAGGATGTCAGCGCTGTTTTACCTTAGCTGTCCTGACTCCAAATTTTCTTGTTGGGGACCCTGACCCTGACTACCTAACTGTCCAACTGACTCCTAACACTCGGAGAGGAGAGGAAGAAGGAAGTCAAATGTGTGCCAGGCCCAAGGTGCTAGATGCAAACATTGAAAGTCACGTGGGGATGGTGCAGCAGGGAGGTGGTTGGACCAGACCTGGATGTCCCACATTAGGGAATGGTGGTTAGGGGGCTCCTCGGGGTGTACTGAAGAATTCTCATATTCACTCCACACGAGAGCCAGCATTTGGATGCCTGCTTTTGAGCGGCTGTGGATGTGGCCATATTAGCCAAAGCAGTAGCCACAACCAAGAGATACGTGACTGAAACAGTGGCCAGACGATGAAGAGATAGACACTTGTCTCTTACTCCCCTTACTCTGCTCTGACACTGAATAGAGCTGAGCTCAGAGGAAGGAGCTTTGTCCCTTAAGTAGGTCAAAGTCAACCTCCAGATGAGGGAAGGGAAAGAGGAGTAAAAGCAGGCCAGGGAGGGAGAGCAGCCAGCACAAAAGCCCAGAGGTGTGATAGCACCAGGTGTGTGGGGACTCTTTCTAGTGATTCAGAATGGCTGACGTGTGTTGGGGTGGGTCACTAGAGACCAGAAGGAAGGTTGCACTCTGACTAGACATAGCGTTAGTGTGAAAACACTCCATCCACCCTATTGCCTCAACTCACGTCCAGATTTTCTTTCACTTTGATATCTGTGCTGTATTTTTTAATATTTCTTTGTACCTATCTTCCAGTTCCCAGTTTTATTTTCAACTGGAGTTAATCTGCTGTGTAAGTCACCAATTATTTTTTTAATTTCAGTTACTTATTTTTAAAATTTTTAGAAGTTCTACTTGGATTTTCTACTTGGTTTTGTTTATATAATCTCTTATTCCTTGCTCATATTTTCAAGCTTTTATTTCTTTAAACATATTAAGTATATCAATGATTATTTTATCCTCTGTGTTTTGTAATTGAAATGAATTACCATGTCGGAGGACTTTTCCGGCTTTTGAACTTTCAGGCACAGTGCATAGTACACGGTCCATCCTCAATATATTTGTTGCAAAAATGAATGAATGAAAATATGTGGAAGGTGCTGGAATAAAAAGCAAATGAAACATTAATAGGTAAATTACAGTATAGTGCTGTAAGCCATATTATAAAAATATAAGCAAAGAGCTCTAAGAGCAAGGACTATACACTCACTCTGCCTGGGAAAAAGAAATGGTATGTGTCCTCTTAGGTATTCAGGAAAGTATTTTCCAAAGGGGTGTATATTATATGACATAGGAAGTTGTAATAGGTGAGGGTTTTTTTTTTTTTCTTGGCTTATTGTGGTAAATCAAGCATTCATACTTCATGAGAAATAACACTTCATCTGAATTGACAATTTAAATGATATTCTCAGGTTTGTTGCAGTGTTGCAGACTTAGACATGACTTTTACGCCATATTGAAGTCAAGGGTAATTACTGTCTGTACATCTAATGAGGAAAATGTTTGAGAATGATAGGTCTTCATCTCATCATCATCTTTCTATAGAACATCAGTTCTCTTGGTCTCAAATACTTCCTACTAAGAACATTGGGCCCAAAGGACACATCATGCTTGTGGTCTACATAAACAGGAATTTCCAGCAGGGAAGGGAAAGTACCTGATGCGTGCTGATGCCCATCTGCTTCCAGTCAGGGCCATGGCTGGCTGGGAAAAGTCATTCCCTTGTTCAGACTGCTCCATAATAACTATACCCAGGACCCTGTCGCATTTACTGTGTGCCAGGTACTACTTAAAGCATTTTCTATGTTTAATTCATGTCAGAATTGGAACTCTGACCAATTTATCTTAATTTTTTATTCTCTTGGGGTGCCCCGTAGGGTTTTATTGGCATGCTAAGCCTTGGTCTGATGGTCACAAACACTTGTGCCTTCAGGCACCTGCTCATCTCCTTCATCCTGGAGTATGCTCTGTAAAGCAGGAGACCTTCACATGCCAGAGATTAGTTTCCATTTCAACCCTAACCTAAACAACAGGAAACGTGGCGATAGGTAATGATCACTAGCTTCCCAAGGACATGTTCAGCTTCAGTTTTTATAATGATAATCTATTAAGGGAAATTATCATTTTTATTGTTGGTGGAACCATAACTATGATATAAAATTTAATAATGAGCATTTGGTACCTATTTTATAATCCATTCACTATGATCCATTTTCATGGCCTGGAAGTCTTCAGCTGTCTACTTGAAGAGGTTGTTTTTTGTTTTTTGTTTTAAAGATTTTATTTGTTTATTTGAGAGAGTGAGAGCCAGAGAGCAGGAGTGGGGTGAGAGAGCACAAGCAGGGTGAAGGGCAGAGGGAGAAGTAGACTATCCACTGAGCAGGGAGCCCGATGTGGGGCTCGATCCCAGGACTCTGGGATCATGACTTGAGCCAAAGGCAGACACTTAACCAACTGAGCCACCCAGGCACCCCTTGAAGAGGTTTTTAAAGACCTTTAAATGGGTCCATATCTCTATTTTCTTATGAGAAGTTAAACCATTATCTCAAATTTATACTGAAAGAAGTAGTAAATATACATGCCATATTTCATAGCCATATTTTCCAAAATACTTTCTTTTTTTAAAATTTGGATGCAGTATATTCTGCAGTTAAATGTAACACGGATCAGAGGGAGATTATAGCTGTTCTAACTTACTATGATTATTTGGGGTTTCATACATATACTGTAAGAAAAATATATTAAGATTGTCATGTCAAACATGTTATTCAAGTTTCACATTCAGTATCCATTTTATTTATTTATTTATTTTAAAGATTTTATTTATTTATTTGATATATATTGAGAGAGCACAAGTAGGCAGAGAGGCAGACAGAGGGGCTGGCAGAGGCAGAGGAAGAAGCAGGCTCCCCGCTGAGCAGAGAGCCCGACGTGGGGCTCTATGCCAGGACCCTGGGATCATGACCTGAGCCGAAGGCAGACGCTTCACCAACTGACCCACCCAGGAGCCCCTCAGTATCCATTTTAAATTAGTGGCTTGTCTGTCTACTTTTAACCAGTATATTAATGAGCGATTCAAATCACCCCTCTATATTAATAATTTATAACTGTGGCGTCTTAGCAAAATGGACTTCTTATCGTCAGATCCTATTTCCTTTGATTAACATAATTGCAAAAGTAGAAGCTCCTTCGGTTACACATTTTTAAACTACAGAAAGACATATTTTGGCATCCATCTTTTGTCAGGTTTGCCAGCTCTCTGTTTTGTAGCTGTAATTGGATACAGTGTATCAGACCAACAGAATTGATCACAGCAATAGCTCTGCTGGAATTAACACCCATTATTAGATTCACCATATAATGGAATATAAAATAATATGCGGTGATTACAGTACCTGAAATAAGGCAGCGGAATTATTGGAAAATGAAAAAGAGTTACCAGTATAGAATGTTCCTACTGTAGGCAAAGTCTCTTAACTCCAGAATTAAATCCAATGTTCCCTTTCAAAAATGATTTCATCATCGTCTCCAAATGAGCAAAAACATTTTCAGTACCTTCAACAGCATAGCTCTTCTTTTTTGTCCTTAATCTCAAAGCATGGAGAGGTGTTGGGGTTTTGTTTGTTTGTTTGTTTTGTTTTTTTCCCCTTACTTCAGGCATTTTAGTGATAGTCTGTATTTAAATTTGCAGTTACACAGGAATAAGCTTCTTCCTGAAGATAGCTATCAAGAATAATCAAACCAGCTTTACAATGACTGATGTTTCAAGGTCCTATTTTGCATTAATCAAGTATATTGGCAGGTGGAAAGCACTGTAAAATAAAGAGAACTGGGTACAGTCTCATAATTTAATACTGAGCTTCTCATCCAGGAGTCTGCCAGATAGATACTTGAGAACAAAGCTCTTTGACATTCAGGTTTAAATTGAAAGAAAATGAGAAACCAGATAAAGCAAGCCAACCAAATTAATTCACTCTGTAGTCCTCTCTGTTTTTTAGTGGAATTCAGAGAAATTCTCTCCCAGAGAAAGTTGGGAAGCCCTCATGAAACAATTGTTTTAGTGTTTACAGAGTATACATTTATGTATTTTGTGTTCAACCACATAGAAATAATACTTATTGCTATTCTCCAGCAAATCCCCAGGAGTTCCCATGGGCTTCAGAAAATTTTCCATAAATGCTGTGCATTATTTATATGGATCCAAGAAAACATCTACCCCAAAGCCTTTCCTGGGAGGAGACAAATAGGTACAGATATATGGGCCAATTGTGTACTTAACTTGGTACTCCTCCACATGGCCCTGCATCTTTAAAAGTGGCACCAGGGACAAAAGGAGTGACCCCCAAGGTAAACTTCAGTCACTTCACAGTTAGGAACCACTAGAAGAATTGTCAGTGAAGAAGTACTAGGTACAGCTGATTCTACCACACTTTCAATTTCTTCTTCTATGCCCCTAGTAAAGAGAGCATTGATTTAGAATTCAAGAATCTGAGGTTCTACCCTTCCTGGTCCTGGAAGTCTCAGGTTCTTGTGTATATTGCAAAGGGACTGAATTAGGATGT